ATCTTCTACGCGTTCTCAAAAGATTCTGGAAACCACTTCTCTGTGAGGCCTCGCACAGGATTTCGATCAAGGACTCGAAGACCGTGTCGATTGAACACTACACCTTGACTATACTGTAAGAAAGATACGAGCCGGAGCATCGGCAATAGAAGAGGACTGCTATTCATCAACGATAGCTACTTACGATGAAGGTGATTCTCGAAAGAAAGATGTGGCTGGCAGCAGTTTTGACACCACTTTGGACAGTTTTGACAATTTTGTGCATTCGTAACCTCTCTCGGATTGCTCTCGAAATAAAATGCTTACCTTCCAGGATCCAATCGATAAAARTCCAGTGCTTGTCCTACATGTTGGACCACCTAAGACGGCTACCTCAACAATACAATGTGACCTTTCCCATTATCGAGGGGAGCTATACGCGGATGCGTCTGTTGGTTACTTAGGCCGTATATATAAACATTGCATCAATCCAAGCATGGCCTCAGGTCCGKTATTTGACACCCGGGAATTGATCAGTAAGTGCTTTCAATCATCGATTGAACCGTGCACGAATACATCAATTTGGAAGAATTTTGAAGCGCAGCTGCATCACTACGCTAATCACAACAAAAGTCTCATCATCTCGGACGAGGCGTTCGCAGGCACTTTCAAAGCTGGCGATAGTGTGGATGCCCGCGTTTCACTGTACAGGCTTCTGAACAAATATTATCCTGGCCGTGTACGCGTCGTGGTCATGTATCGCAGATACTTCGAATGGGCAATAAGCCACTGGAACGAAATCAACAAACCTTACAKGAACGTTTACAATCCGGCTAGTCCCTACARAGAAGAATTTCAAAAATGGCCTTCAGAAGGTGGAAACACACCCAAAACATTTTTACAGTACATACTCAACATCCACAATTTAGCTTCTACAGCTGAACTCAAAGGGTTAAGATACAACATGCTAGCAGCGAGAGAAAATATCCACCCTGCGGAATATCTTCGGAGATCGTGGAGGAACTACTCAAGCAATGTAGTGATGCTCAACATGGATGAAATGGGTCACAACCATCATGATGGGGAAGATATTACATCCCTTTTTCTTCRAGATAGTTTGTCGCATGTGGCAGGAGATGTGCTGCGTATGGCAAAAGCGAAAGCCAATGCTAGCATTGGTGGTCGACCCAATCCCTCCAAAAATGTTGACTATGACAGGCTTGCAGTCAAGGCGTACGAGCGTGGATTGCTTGTGAATCAAAGTGCTACTCTCCGCTTCGAAATTGCTGAAATAGCAGAGAAGTATTTGCTTAAAAAACTGAACAGGACAAAAGACAGTCTACCGTTTGTGTGCCTTAATCAAACCCATATTGAAAGCCTGCTTCAGAAATCGATACGATACGAACGCGAACTTTWTCCTGACCTGTCGGAAGAAGCTACCAAGCGCCACCAAGCGGCCTTTTTAAAAGCAGTCRAGAGAAAGAAATTCTGCAACTTTGACACCGACAAACTAATTGAGGACATTGCAGTGCAAACGTTCTTCACAAAAGATATTCCAGAATTGCTAGATCTTCGTTAAAGCTCCCATCGACGATTCTGTATCGCTTTCGAAAACTCGCCAAATGCTGGTCGTGGCCGTTTGGCTTGCTCGTTTCCAACTTCCTCCGTCCAGAGACAGGTGTCCCCTACGACTGTTTTTTCTGTTTAAACAACAATTCTCCCCTACACAAAGAATCACAATGACTGTATTGAACTGACTTTAATTAGTACCAGAAGCTCATTTTCATAATCTATGTTATCATCAACAGCACATTCAATTCCGTTTCAACTTTCACTTGCCGCGCCCCGCAAAAGACATAATCAGCCAAATAATGAGCTTATTRCAGGGTACAGAGATTGATCAACAACCATTTCTGAGAGGGGGCTCCCATTTGTTATGGGTACCATGCGAGCTGGCCCAGTTTGTACACCAAACGAACGGGTGTGGTGTTGAGGGGCTTTTGCATCCGTAGTATTTGGTTTTTACGGATTTAGCTCTTCCTCTCCATGCCTCAGCGGACCTAACGACTACGATCATGGTCTGAGATGAATGGCAGCGAAGATGACGACCAAACACTCTCGTATATATAGACGAAAGACCAAATAATTGAGCAGGAAAAAGATTACGATGGTTTATGCCGCTCGGAAAAAACACAACCGAAAGCCCCCGTGGCTCTTGTATTGCTCTCAGGCATGATATGGTGCGCACGCATCTTCAACATTGTTCACCACAACCATCCATCTCGCTCTCGGTTTTACTTCGAGCAGCGTGAATCTCTTACGTTCTGAAAAGGGAGGGGCTGTGATTCTTTGACTCTCTTATTTTGTATTCTCAAAGCGTTATTTGCTTTTTTATTGTCATGGCACGATTGTACCATAATCTTTAATCTTATAATTTTTATATTCATACACACTTAAAGAAGAACATGTAATCTCATGCATCAATGCTCGATTCACCACTTAACAGAAAGTCTAAATCTAGACCGGAATCCAAGAAAAAAAATCCATTGCATGACTCATTATTATCCAATAAAAATCCGTTGAATGACTAAAAAATTTGCATGGGCGCTTTTCCAGTCTTAGTCATTCCAAATTCCTACAAGACTAGAAGAACCCCCTTAAAAATGTCCATTGGGTAGTACTAGTAGTAGTAGTTAGTACTAGTACTACTAGTAGTATCTGTGCCTGTTCTGCTGGTGGACCTTGTTTGTCTTGTGCTCAAGGTTGGGGAAGGGGTGAATTCACTGGTTTCATTAGTCTGATCTTACCACAATACCATCTTGCCGCATTTCTTGCTGAAGCTTGAGCTTCAAGGCTCTGCCGCTTCTTTGCTGGAATCTCGGTTACTGGGTTTCGTCATTATGTTGTCTGTCCGTCGCTCCCAAAACTCATAATTGTAAGAACKGGAATGGCCCATTATTTCCAATAATTATGGAATTACCGTACGTAATTTAAAGTAAATTCAGAGTAAACAGGAATTTCATGCAGGCAGGAGCTAAAATTGAAAACCTTTATTTTCCAAAATCGAAAGCGTCATGGCGCGTAATTATAGGGACAATGCCAACGACCGGAACAGYCAATCTGTAGAGAGCCATCGATCGCAGAGCGCAAACCCTAAGGATGCAGCTTCAGGAAGGACAAAGGCGGGAAAATTCATTGGCGGAGCTGAGCGGGCCCGGAGGAATGCACAGAAACGAAGCTGGAAACCTCAGAAAAACAGCCGTCACCAAAAAAGGAATCGACAMGTCGGTGGTTTTGGTGGCTGCGAGGCATCTCACCCCCTTTCCAGAACCAAGCTCCGATCGACCGAGCGGTTCTTTGCTGCCCTCCTGGACCCCGCGAATTTTGGCGCAGAGCCAGAGCCATCCGAGCACAAGCGACACAGCGCCGAAGCGATACTACAGAAGATTTGCTGGAGGCTGGGGCTGGGACCGCTGCCTGCTAGCAACAACAACAACAACAATAGCAAYGCCAACATCCCCCACACCGAYGACATGAGGCAATTCTTTTCCTGGCGAGCAATTCTCGTCATGGAAGAATCCCGTTTCGAGCTGTCGGAAGCCCTGCGGAAATGCAGAGGCACGAGATTCGCCGCTTCTAAGCGTCACCGCAACCCCAGGCCATCAAGAAGCAGCAACACTGCTCCCGGTTTGTCTTCGTCGTGTTCCTGGAYCACCGTGAAGCTCCTGGATGTCCGGGACCACCCACGAAGTGGATTCCTCGTGCTGGAATTGGACAAGGCGGATGTCTCCGGTGGTAGCCGCCGCTTTACACCCGAGGAACTGTTMCAGCAGCGACCGGGGAGCTGTTTCGAACTTTCGGCAGAACCGGTAAAAAGCAGTACTGGGAGCAGCGACATCAACAAGTCGAATGCCAATGCGAAAGATACCGACGACGGCCATCCCAACCACGAATGGGCCACCGCTGTGAAGACCCTCGGCTCGGTAGGTCCTGGAAAGCGTGGATCGACGAAGCTGGTCCTGGTAATATACGACGAGACGTCCATTAATGATCTCAAGCGGCTGTTCTRYCAGCAGCAGCAATCAATTGTGTTGCGGATCCGGTTTTGTACAACACTGATTTCCCAGTGCCGTCAGTTYGAGGCGTGCGATTTCGGGAGCACGGGCCACTTTCGAAAGCGGGGGGGAAGCAGTAGCAACAGCAGCGGGCTTTTAAAACAAATCATRGGACAAAAACAAGCTACGCACATCCGCTTCGAATACTCGGACGACGAAGAAAGCGACAACGAAATCGAGAAAGAACAGAAGAATTTCTCCGATGGAGAGGAGGGAGCGGAAGAAATCATTGGTTACATTATCGACGACAACGACGATGAAGAGGAACGCTTTCATGAGGCGGAAGACTTCCAGCAAAGTGAAGAAGGCAAGAACCAAAATCTCGACGAGGGAGAAGAGCAAAAACAACGCAGGAAGCCATCTTTGTCCCTGTCCTCCTTCACCGGGTTGAAAAAACTGAACCAAACCCAAGAATYCGCCGCTCGGGATTTTTGTACCGACTGCGGCGATAATGATCRAGCACCAACGCTAGTGAATAGCAATGGCACCAAGGATGACCTTTTACAACTTGTACAGGGCCCCCCGGGAACAGGCAAGACCACMTTTGTCGTTTCGGTACTAGCCCGACTCCTCTGCTCTGAATCTTCGTCATCATCAAAGAGAAAACGCCCCCGGCGCATTCTAGTCACCGCACCCACAAACAAAGCAGTTGGAGTCATCGCCAAGCGGTTCCTGGAAGCATGTCCYGGACTCCTAGAGAAACACGGAATCCCCGTGGCGCTGATTGGTGTCGAAGACAAGCTTTTTGATGCAAAAAACAAAACAACAACGGCAAAAGAAACGAAGCGCAATGCGAGTAAAAATACAAGCCGGCATTGTTCTGKAGAATCCACCGCCAAAGATTCTTCAATAGCGGGCGTCTCATTTGCGGATGAACAGCTCAAACGCATATTTTGCTATACATGGATTGAGTCTCTAGCCGAAGACTACAACGRGCTGTCCGCTCTGTTGACCAGCGCACAAGAAAAGATATCAGTCCCAGYGGGGAGCTATGCTGGAGACCGTGGTGTTGCAGCGTGGCTGMCGAACATGTTTCCACCAAAGAGTGGGAGCTATTCTTTGATGGCAGGCAGCGACAGCGATTCGGACACGGAAGAGGAGGAACTAACGGAACACAAAGGGAATGCTTCTRAGACCGAGCCTGCTGCCAGAAAAAATTCTGCCTGTACTCAAAATGCTTTAGTGGCCAGGGCACGTGGCCTGCACATAAGACTGATTCGAAACCTTCCCCGCCTGTCCGAATCCTCTGGTGTAGCGAATCTTTCTCGAAAACTAGTCCAGTCTCTTGTCGGAGACTGCCCGAATCAAGAACCGAAGCTCTCCGAAGCTCGTTTTTTCCTAGACGAGATCCTCAACATCATCCGGGGCGAGAACCAGCCTAACGCATCGGGTGTGAGAGTCGATACGGATGAAAGCAACAACGACAGTGAGAATGAAGGGAGATCCCTCGAGGCGGACGCCATACCGGAACTCCTGGCAACGGCAAGAGTCATCTTTTGCACGCTTAGCACCGCAGGAACTTCCCTAATGAAGCAGACTCGGAGGGTGGACGACTGGATTGTCGACGAGGCCGCGGCGGCCACGGAAGCAGAGCTGTTGATCCCTCTTCATCTTGATCCCAAACGGCTGCTGGCGGTAGGCGATCCWATGCAGCTACCAGCCTCCGTGGCAAGCCCCCTGGCCGTCGGCTGGGGGCTGGGGGGAAGCCTCCACGAGCGCCTGACGGTTGATCTCGGCCGGTCCCAAACCATGCTTGATGTCCAGTACCGCATGAAACCGGAGATTTCAGAATTCCCTTCCAATCAGTTTTATGATGGGAGGCTAACCAACGGGGACAACGTCCGGTGCCCCAATTATGGATTATTAAATCACGCCAAAAAGCACCCGGTGAACGGGAACGGATCGCAGCAGCTATTGCAAACCACTCCTCCTTGGTGCTTCTTTCAAGTGGAAGGGAAAGAACGGCAATCGTATAGTGGTTCCTACTTCAATGTCGAGGAAGCTTCCGCAGTGGTGGCAGTCTTGAAAGAAATCCGAGCAAGTGGCAACCTGATAAAACAGAAAACAGGGAGAGAAGAATCATATTCTTGGTTCTCATCCGAGAAGGTCCGGGTTATTACTTTCTACAGTGCACAGGTAGCTACCCTGAAACAAATGCTTCGCAGAGAGGGGATGCCGCAAGATTTGGTACACACAGTSGACTCGTCCCAAGGATGCGAGGCCGACATCGTCATCCTAAGTTTCGTGAGAAGTTCCCGGGCCGGATTCCTCGCCGACGATCGAAGGATGAATGTTGCCCTCACCCGAGCAAAATACAAATTGATTTGCCTGTGCAATATGCGCGAATCATTGTGGGCTAAGTCGTCTCTCACAATAAAGAAAATGGTGGAAAACGCGCAGCAAAGAGGTTGCATCTCATATTCTCTAGCAACAGAAGCAAACAGTATTCCACGGGACTGGCTAAAAAAATGATTAAAAGGATCGTCCAATTCTTTCGACCCAAAATATAGATGATAGAGCTTCGATTACGAACAGCAAGACACAGCAAGACACAGCAATGCTTCCTAGGTACATTCGTTTCCATAATGGGTTCATCCTTCGAAAAAAATTATGATTCATATGTTATCTCCATGGATCGAGGCAGTCATTTATTTTTGCGCTGACTATAGCTTGCTCGTTCTGATCCATTATTGGTGCATTATGAAAAAATGRGTTGCGTAGTTGTAGTTGTTGCTGCTGCTGCTGTGACCTGACAAAAGGGGTGCATCAGACTGATTGTTCGTATTCTGTTCCATGGTATGTTCCTTCTCAYTGGTGCGCTATATCTGAATGCCACCGTCCACGGTGAATGAATCATCGAAATCGGCACCATCTTCAAGGATCGGTTGCTCCACGACAATCAGTTTTTTCTGCTCCTGTGCATTGCTGTTTCTGAGGGTTCCGTGTTTGTCCATTAGAAAGGTCGCCCGAGCCTTAGCYGCTTCCTCACAATTCTCCATGGAGTAGTGTGGTGAATCAACGTCTGTGTCTTCAACATCGTCAAAGCCATCGTCACCCAGCTGACACAGATTGGCTTGACTGCCCAGCATGCGCAACTTGTTGGCGCGGACCTCCTTTTCATGGTTCTTCTCCCATAAGGATAGAAAGGCTGAATAGGAGATCATTTGGTTGCTGGTTCCGTCGCCACCATTATCTGGATCGACCGCGTCGCCGATGATGTCAATAATTTCCTGTCGTGAAAAATCCTTGCCCAGCAGCTCGGCAAGATTGTCCACCGAAATGTGGCCGGAATCATCAGAATCGAATCGATCAAAGGCTTCCGCCAGCCGTTCCTCGCTGATGGCACCCTGGGCTTCAATTGTGGCAGCAAGGAATTCTGTGTATTGAATCAGACCTGATCCATCCAAATCCTGTTTGTGTTGTCAAAATGAAGAAGGCATAACAAAAGGAAGAGCATTATAATTTAGTAAGTTTCACGGTGTCCGAACTAAAATGCTTATATAGAAGAAACAATCACACGGTTTCTCTTGGGCATACATACATTCATACAAATCTAATACTTTTCGTACAATGCCCAACACTACTACTCACCACCGAATCAAAAATAGCCCGGGTGTCCTCAGGCGGTAGGCCCGATTCCTTCCACGCTGAATTGAATCCCTCGTACGAGATGCACCCACCCTTGTCAATCGACGCGTACTTCTGGAACACCTTGCGCAGGATCCCGATTTCCTCGCACGTCGATCGGTGGGCAACAACCATAAGGGCCATCTTCTTGAGCTTAGTGTAGCCAACATAGCGCATCATAGAGTTGCGCGCCTGCAGAATCTCGCATTCGCGGGGACCGCGGACCGAGGCCGAGAAGCGYTTGTTGAGCCAGACGCAGCTCGAGGCGCGCTCGGCRTCTAGCCGCTCATCGGGATCGAGAACCAGAAGATCCCGAACAAAGTCCTTGGCAGGGGTGCTAACCCTTCTCCAACGTCTGCCCCGGAAGTCGTACTTTCCAGCCAGAATCTGCTCGACAATGTGCTGCCGTTTCCTCCCATAAAAGGGCATCTGCGAGGACAGCAGCATGTACGCAATGACTCCAACGGACCAAACGTCGGCCTGTTTAGTGTAGCTCCCCTTAAGAACCTCCGGTGCCATGGTGTATATTGTTCCGACCCCCTCCGTCAGCGTCTGGCTCTTTCCGTTCACTCCCCCTCCATAGACCTTCGACAGGCCGAAGTCGATGAGCTTGATTTCGGCTTTGGGAGAATCGTTCACAAAGAGTATATTTTCGTACTTTAAATCCCGGTGGGCAACGTTGTTCGCGTGGAGATAACCTACGGCGCTTAGGATGGAGGAGATGTGCCTCGCTGCTTCCTCCTCCGTGTAGGGGTCCCGAGAATACAAATCCCCACCGCTACAATGTTCCATGACAATAAATATCTGGTTTCGGTAGTGGAAGGTTTCGAGTGGCCTCACGATGTGGGGGTGATCGAGTTTCTTCAGGATCGCAATCTCGTTCTCGAGTTCCTGCACAAAGGTATCGTCSGTTATGCGGCTGAGGTGGATGGACTTCATGGCATACTCGACGTCAAGGGCCGACCGGACCGAAGCGGTGGAAGCCGCCGTGGTGGAATCGTCGGCAGGGAACAAGATGCTGGACCTCCGTCGCCCCTGTTTTGCGGGGTTTCCCGCCGTYGACGTCGAGTCGCAGGAGGAGACGTCCGAGGATCCCTCCGAAGATCCCAGCCAGGTCTCGACCGATAGCAGGGCATTCTTGGTACCCCCRACGCGGTGGTGACGATTCTGCTTTCTCGTTTTACTGTGCGTAGGTGCCTTGTCCTCCTGAACCCGCAGCTCGTCCTCGATGCACARCCGAAACAAACCCCCAATCCCAAACGGTAGTTGGAAGCATTTCTGCTTCCGCTTGTGAGTCTGAACAGCCTCCCGGACGACCTTCCTGGCCGATCCGCCGACGGTCTGGCTGCGTTTCTTCACCAGGGCCACCGATCCCATCGACCCGTTTCCGATCGTTTTCTGAACGCGGTAGTAAAAGAGCGGATCCCGCTCCTTTTGCTCRTTCATGAGGCGTGTCCGGAACTCCGGTGAAAGCAGAATCAGCTCGCTCCTGGACCGCTTCATGTTGCTGACMGAGGTGCACCGCCGCATGGTGCTCCTCGTGGTGGCAGTGGTTCCGAGATTGGCAGACGTAGCAACGCTGTGGCGTTTTGGCGGGTGGTGGTCACGATTGCGTTCATTGAGTTCCATCTTCTGTAGATTCGGTGTCGACTGGGAGGCTTTCCTCCGTTGTACCATGCTCCTCTGATTTTGCTCTACCTGTGACAACTGCCTGGTCTGATTCGTTTGTTCTTGTTGCCCTGTAGCGCCTTCGGCTGCGTCCTCTATTGCTTCGTTTCGTTGCTGCTGTTTGTGTGGTGCATCCGTGCTGGTTCGGTGGTCGTTGATGTTTGTTGCTGTGTAGTTTGTGGCTGGCTCGGATGGTCTCCCGAAGGAAACCCGTGTGTTCTTTGGCGCTGCCTCCATAACAGAGTTTTTCTTTCGCGTTCTGTCAATCCGTCCTTTCGAGGGCGATCAATGAATTAATGATGGGAAGTTCGGTTGTATCGATTTTTCTCGGACCAGCTTCGCGTATAACTTTGAGAACAAGGAAGCGTCACTTCTGCTTGCGTATGGTGTGAAAGGTCGAGTTTTACAACCGTCTCGGGTTGAAACGTAGGCTGTGTATCATGTATTCTACCGGTAGGTACCGGGTAGGTGCCAACTGTAAAGTTCCGTAATGAGAAATAGAACGCAACCGATTATTGCGTTTTGAAATCAAATGAGAAAGGTGATTCTTCCCGAACCTTTGAAGAGCCTGCGTGCGGTGGTGTACTGTTCGTTTTGTTTCGAGCTATGCTGATTTGATGAACATTGCACTAGGTTGTCCCAACTGCGTGTGTTCTTTTTGTTCCACACTCTCGAATGCAACCATGCCACATGAAGAATTTTGTACGCACGTGACAGGAGGAAAWGGTAGTCGAGTGGGTCGAATSCAGACAATCAACCCCKAGAAGCGAGAAATTSGGAAACTAACGTTTTCAAGTACGAGTACTMSTWSTRCT